TTTGCATGCAGGGGTACATTTAACTGGTATAGCTGAGCAGAGAACAAAAAGTATTACTTCCAGAAACACAAGGTTGGAACCGTTTCTTGGGAATGCAGTGCAGCGTAAAACATTGCTATGGGACCTTTACTTTGGCGCTACAATTATTTTTCATGATTTCCACTTCTTAATGCGCATCCATTTTTTAAATTGTTTTCCCATGGGGGTTCTCTAGTGTTATGCTCTGGGTCGTTCTCACTCTGCAGGGAATGTCTCTCTCCAGTCATTGCCTCTCCGCTCATGTAAACCCAGCACTCCAGTCTTTGTTCCAGCCTGGAAAAGTGGTGCGCAGAATTGGCAACGTTGATAAGATACCACTTTGTGTGTCGGGTTTCCCTGTTAAGAGATGAATGCCTCGACAAGCTTATCAACCCCACTCGCTTAGCAAATATGCTTAAAACCGGAACTGTGGTTCCCAAAGCTCCAAAGTCAATAGCATAAGTGTTGCTGGCTTGAACATTTCCTTCTTGCAATAAATCGGAGTTCAAAGATGCTAAGGAATTAAGAGCCATGCTTTTCGTGTGCAACTCAACTCAACAAATGTTTACTGTTAAAAGTTTCTTTAACTTTCCGTTGTTCATACAGTGGGTCCTTTATGGAAGAGGAAGTTTAGCAGCAAACACGGACCCGTTTCCAGCTGGGGTTATCAGAGGTCGTCCACTGGGCTGGAGAGCTGGAACGGCCTTCTACCGGGAACTCGCCTCTCCAGTCTGGTGGTGTTCCTCCCTGGTCTGCCTTTTCTCATGCTAGCTCCAAACAGCCATGCAGCAGCATTATAAAATAGAGAAAGCACTGGATTCAGGGGTCTTCTCCTGTCTTGTTCATCTATTTGGCATAGGCCGATCCCCTTTTCCTAAGGTCTCATCCAGTAGCGACAATTAACCAGACTCTGTGGTCCAGTGGATTGACCATTCTGGCTTTCGTTTCGATGGAAGAAATGAGAGCTCTCTCGAATGAGGCAGAAATTTTCAGGGAAGGAGACGACACCCAGCTGGGGCTGTCACCAGTGTGTTCAACCCCGTCCACTGCTCAAAGACAAGAAGCTCTTTGTATGTCTCCATTCAGACAACGACATTTGGGTTCCTCACAGCTGCTCGGCTGGTTACAGAAGGCCGGAGATTGTGAAGAAATTCCAAGGACCCTTGACCAGAGTTGGTGTCACCGATGATACAAGAGCGGAGACATTTGTTAGGAAGGCGGTATGGTGGAGAAACTGGAGACAAGTGACACCCAGGGTTAAGGTACTGACGCAAGTTACGGCCCAGGGTGCAAGGTGTCCTGAAGGTCACCATGGGAACCTCTATGGCTCTGTGGTCTGGGTTAAGAGCTGCCCCCAGGGCACCCGCCTGAACAGGCCTGGGAAGGCAGAGAGGCAAGAAGCAGAGGAAGGTGCTTCTGCTTCTCACACCAGAGGGGATGCTGGGAGTGGGTCTGGGGGTCCTGGGAATTCTGCGTAGAGTGCCTCAGATGGCAGGAGGGCCCCTCAGAAAGACACAGGAAGGACATCAGGCCCAGGTACCCGTGACCGGGCTTCTGCGCCTACCTGGGCCCGATCGCCTTCTTAAAGGGTCACTGGGACATAGACTGCATTCATCCGAAAAACACAAAACGAAACAACGTAAGGTTTATCATCATCACAGAATCCCAAAGCCACCCACGTTGATAGGATCCTATTTTTCTCTTCTATTTCTTGGTGGGAAGTCAGAGTTGCTGCTTGGGTTTACAGAGCCCTTTCATCCTCACAAGAAGCCTGAAGTTCGCACTCCTGCACTTTGCAAGGGAGTTGAGGCTCTGGGCCCTTTGGGCACTCCCTGGGTGCCCCGAGCCTGGGCTCCAAGACCCATGCTGCTTCCCTCACACCCTCTGCCCGGGTCTTGGTCAGACAGGCTCCACTTTTGTGCCTCGGCTTCCACGGCCTTGCCGATGCCCACGTCCATCCCTCCCTGAACAAGACCACCGGCTACTTCCCTGCTCTCTGCCTCGACCGCTTGTTCAGTGTTTTTGGCCACTGGGCTAGCAGTGGAAGGCATGCAGCCCACCAAAGACTCAGGTCCTGGGGATGCACCCTTGTTTCCACATGCGAAGACGTCCAGTCACCCCAGAACAAGGAGAAGCGCACCAGTCTCCACTTCCTTGCTGGAAAGAACAAGCCATCTATCCGATGCCAGAGAACTGTGGAAGGATGCCAAGGAAACCTGAGCCCAGAATTGATGAGGTCCAGAGAAGAAATTCAGCTACAAAAGGAACAAACGTGAGGAGACCCACACGCTGATTCTGGGTCTCCTTGGGCACAGAGAAGACCAAAAGCCATCCATGAGTGGAACAGCTGTAACCCCCTTGATGTATAACCTGCTGTGCCATAATCCAAAGTCTGCTTAAGAGGGGATGGGCCTGGTCACAAGTGTGTCCAGGAGGAGCTGTGGATACCTACTCATGGCCAAGAGCAGGCTCTGGCTGGAGACAGGTGACTCTCTGGCACAGGGTGAACCCGGAGGGGATCGCTGAGTGGTCATTTCAGGGGCAGTGGGAAACAGACCACAGGAACATGAACATACCTTGGCAGAGGTGGGGCTTGCCACATTTGAGTAGGGCTATGGCACTGACTAGGTGAGCCTGGGAAGAGGCTCACACCCCATAGAGAGAACCCAGGGCCAAAGGAGCCTCCTGCAGCCACCGTAACTGACACTGGAAAATCTTTTCTCATTCTAGATCACTGTGCCTTTGGACTACTGGGGTTTATCCATTGCTTACATTTGGAAATAGACTTTTTTATTTCCATCAAACTTTGTGTTAGCAGAGGAGGATTTGAACCAACTGGCATGGTGGTGAAGAAACTTTCTCCGGCATCTGTTCCTGATTTTGGTCCACACTGAGATGACCAAGCATGCCAGGGTCCCGTTTTCTCCAAGGGAAATCTCCCTTTTACAGCCCCGTGCCAGATCCGTGAACAGGCAAGCTTAGCACCCGAGCCACCTAAAAAAATCTTATGAGTGGGACATAGACACGATGGAATACTATGCAGCCATACAAAAGAACAAAATCATGAATTTCACAGCAACCTGGATGGAACTAGAGTCTATAATACTGAGTGACCTCTCACAGAAACAAAGATCCGAGTATCACATGTTCTCACTCACATAATGGACCTTGAACATCCAATGCAATACTATAAGAAAATGACTGACGGTACTGGGAAACTATGGGGGGGAGGGGGCTGGGATTAACAGTAGCAAATATCTGTCGGGGGATGGGGAAACACCTCTTATCAACAGGGTGCCTGAATGAAACGTAATTGTACACCTAACCCTTAACTGTACCCCACAAAACCATAATAAAAAATACTGATTAATAAAACAAAACAAAACAAAACAAAAATCTTATGAACACCAGGAGTTCCTAAGTATCTTGGTTTGGAGAAACTTTGTAAAGGGAGGAGCTTCCCGGGAACTTTCACTGTTTAACCTTAATCTTCTGCCAATGATTTACTTTCTCGGGTGCTGTTGAATTGGAAAGTGTATGAGGATTTATCAGAAAGTATAGCAGGAAAACTTTGTCATTCCTAAGACCGCAAATACTGGCTGACTGCAAGTTCCTGGCTAGAAGGTTAGCTCTGATTCTCTGTTTTTGTGTTTTCTGTAAGAGTTATATGTAATGTGAAAATAGCCCTGCTGAGAATTGAGATGCCTGCCCTCCTGGAATGAGCTAGAGTTAGAGCTACATTTACAGAGGAGGTGCTTCAGGTAACAGTTCAGAGCCTGGGCTTTGGGGGTAGGTAGACCCAAGTCAGAATCATGACTCTACTACTTGCTAACTCTGTGATCTTGGCAACTTAACTCCTTAACCTGCAGTTTGCTTCTTGGGTTAATTTTCTTCATAGTGTTATTCGTTTTTTAGTAAATTATCCTGGGTTTTCTAGGTAAGAAATCACATTTTCTAAAATTAGTGATCTTTCGCCTTTTCTGATATTCACAGCAGAAATTCCTTTCTCTTGTTTCACTGCATTGGTTACAATGACCAGATTGATATTGAACAGTAGCATTAATAATGGACACCCATATCTTCTTCTTGATCTTAATGCGGTGTTTCAAAGGTTTCATATCAAGCGTGATCATCTTGTTCGCCAGCTTAAGAAAGTTTTCCTCGTACTTTTAAAAAAATCACAAATGGGCCGGGCTCGGTGGCTCAACCTGTAATCCCAGCACTTTGGGAGGCCGAGGTGAGTGGATGGCCTGAGCCCGCGGATTCGAGACCCGCCTGGGCAGCGAGACCTCATCTCTACAATACATCAAAAAATCAGCCGGGCGTGGTAGCGCACGTCTGTAATTCCGGCTACTCGGAAGGCTGAGGCGGAAGGATCGCCGGAGCCCAGCAGGTCGAGGCTGCGGTGGCCGGGAGCGGCCACTGCACTCCAGTCTGGGCGACATGGACCCCCACTCAAAAAAATAAAAATAAAAAAATTAAAAAATCACAAATGAATGTCAAGTTTTATCACACTCTTGGCCTCTAGGGAGCCAAGATGATCTTACGGCGTGTCTTCTTTGGTTTATTAAGATAATGCATTCTGTTGTTTTTCTATTAGTTGATTAATTACCTTTATGTCAAGTCGCTCTGAAATCTCAGATAAACCCGTATTGGTATGAGGCATTTTTATGTCCCACACATTTCTTTTGAGTTGCATCTTGCCATGTTGCCCAGGCCAGTCTTGAACTCCTGGGCTCACGGGTCTCCTGCCTCAGCCTCCCGCGTAGCTGAGACTTCAGGCGTGCGCCCCTACTCCTGGCTGCCTTTTTCCTTTCAGTATTTCAGGACTTCGTCCTCTTTCATTTCGGATTCTCCTCGTGGACGTTTATAAGTGATGCTTATGGATCATTTTCTCCCTGACGACCTCGTCAGGTTTTGTGAGCGTGATTTCTAACGAATGATGTTGGTTTCAAGGAGCAGGCCGGCAGAGAGCAGGAGCCATGCTGAAGGAGCTGCAGCTCTCCCTGTCGGTCGGCCTGCTTCTGGCCTGTGGCTTCCTCTACCAGCTCGCCCTGAAGTCCAGCTGCCTCTTCTCCTGCCTGCCTTCATCCACGGCCCCACAGGGGCCCGAAGCCCTCCTGCGCCGGGGACGCCACCTGGTGTTTCTGGAGACCTCGGAGAGGATGGAGCCGCCCCCGCTGGTCTCCTGTGCCGTGGAGTCTGCTGCCAAGGTCTATCCCGAGAAGCCGGTGGTGTTCTTCATGAAAGGTCTCCACAGCTCCCCCCGGCCGCCCTCCAACTCCACACACCCAGCCTTTTCTCTCCTCTCAGCAATGGACAACGTTTTCCTCTTACCTTTGGATTTGGAAAGCCTGTTTGAAGACACACCTTTGTCCTCCTGGTACACCCAGGTGAGTGTCCAGGGAAACCTAGAAGTCAGTGAGTTGTTTAGACAGGTAAACTCAGGCTGAAGACTCAGGGTCAGAGATGGGACTAGAGCCCATCTTTGGGCTGACTCTCGCCTCTTTGTCACGGGCGGAGTCCCAGTTCGGGTCAACCGGAGACATTACGTGAGACTTATCTTTAGCCCAAGACCTAACTGCAACACACTGTATTTGCTTCTGGAGAAAATAAATCTCGAATCCAAACATCTGGGGAATGCTGCCTACTCCATTCTTTGTCACAGATGCATCGTGTGTGAGGATATTAAAGCCTCTTTACAGTTCCGAGCAAAAGAGATTTAACTCGCTTCACCTCCGCACTTTCCACACTTATCTGAGCGTGCAGCCTGCTTTCAGTGTGACACGTCAGTAATCTCTTGGAACAGACGTTCCGTGGAGCACCGTTTGGGCTGCTCTAAGCTGCACCTGGATTTTACCATGTTGGGTTTTAGGAATAAGATGGGTCTTGGGACGCAGAGCCCTGAAGTGTCTGCTCCATCTGAGCTCACAGGGACCACACTCGGCTGTGCCTCTACAGAGATCACACCACAGTACCCTGGCTGCCAGGCAGTGGCATGTTCCACCCCAGTTACCACCGTGGGATAGCAGGGCGTCACCTACCAGGGAGGACTCCATGTGCCATCACTTGCCGGTGACCGCCAGGTTTACTGCACTGATCTGGGCGCTTGTAGCTCTTGGAGATGCCCAGGGATGAGTCCTGTGGGTGTGAGCTGGGGATGGGCAAATGTCCGCCGAGCAGCCAGAAGCCTAAGCCTCTCTCTGGTGATCCCCCCTGTTGGAGCTCTGTGTATTGGGTTGCTGGGGGTCCAGTGCTCTCGTCAAGGCGGGCCTCCTCCTCCTCCAGCTCTGGTGGGCCTCGATGTCCTGTGTCTCTGGGTCTGTTCATGCACAACTGCCAGGCGGCCACAGAGTCATATTTACTTCGTGATTTCTTTTGACTGAGTGGATATCTGGAGCCAGACTGCCTGGTGCAAATCCAACCTCTGCCTCTCCTTGCCTTGGAGAAATGACTGAGTTTCTTGGTCCTGATGTGTGTAGATTACAAAGAGCTTGGAACAATTATTGAGTCATGTTAGCCATTATGATTTATGAGGCTTTCGGCAAGTATATACAATGTGATGATTTTTTAAAACCTGTGAAGCTTCCTGCAAAGTTGTCATTGATCTGCTTCTGTCTGACTTGATAGCAGAATATCAGGGAAAGCCAAGACTTGCCGTTTAATCTTTTAACTAGCATATTTACACTCAACGGATGTAGTTTGCTTTCCCTATTCAAAATCTTATCATTCCATGTGGGAACTCTGCCATTTATGCTCATGTGTTTTTATTCTCTTTAAAGTCATTTTCTGTGGTGCTCACATTCTGGCCTTCACGGCCCTCCGTGACGCCTCTCTCCCCCACCCACGTGGCGTCCCTCTCGACTCAGCTTTTCCTGCCACCGAACCCGGAGTCTGACGACCCCTCACTCCCACCTTTGGCACCGTCTTCTCCCGCCTGCATTGTGTCACCAACCTCGTCACTGGTCTCTCAGCGCCTGCCCTTGCCACCTCCCGCCCATCCCCTGGTGGTTTCCACGGCTGCCAGAGGGACCCTGTGAGGACGAATTCCGATCCATCCCGCCTTCCTCCCAAAGCTCCCGGATAATGTCAGTCTTGGCCCCAGCCTCCGTGCTCTGCTGTCCCTTCCCTGCCTCCCTGTCTCCGACCTCCGCGGCTACCCTCCCCTCTGCAGCCACACGCTCCTTCTTTTTCCAGCACACAGCAACAAGTGTGCTCCTGCCTCAGGGCCCTGGCACTCGTGGTTCCCTCTACCTAGACCCTCCTCCTCCCAGATATGGGCATGGTTCACCCACCCATTTCACTCCACTTTCGGCTGGAACGAATGCAATGCAGTGCGCCACCTTGCCCCATTCGTGGCCCTCTCACCCAGCTTTGTTTCTTCATGGGCCTTATCAACACCCAACCCAGAACAGATTTGCTTATTTTCTGCCTCCTCCCAGGAGGGATTGTGTCTGTTGTTCGCTGCTCTATCCTTCCACAGAGTGGGCGCATAGTAAGTGGGCCCTCCATGAACATGATGAAAGGAGTTAATAAATGAACCTGCCTGAACCTGTGGGTTCGAGACCCACCTGGGCAACTTGACAAGACCTCATCTCTACAATAAATCAAAAAATTAGCCAGGCGTGGTGGCACGTGCCTGTA